GAGACCTCTTTTCGTTGCTTGCTACGAAGACTTCCTTCTTCAAAATTTCCGATTCCGCCATGTTTGAAGTTCGATTGACGTTTGGAATTGGCGAGTAGGGTTTTCAGCGATTTCATTTCTCAACTTCCATGCCAGCAGACTGTTTCTACCGTATTATAACACAATGAGCGCTGTTAATATCACGAACGTCGCTGTTCTTGACAACCCATCGCCCTTCTCTACCCCCCTTCAGTTTGAGATCTCCTACGAGTGTTTGACTCCTCTCAAATATGGTATTCTCTCCATCTACTTTTTCTCACTTTTGTTTTCCTGTATTTGTTTACTGATTATTTCCCTTCTATTACTAATTCAATCAGGTTCCTATTAGGGTTTACTTTTTCGGGTTTACAGTATTAGTTGGCTTTATGATTCACCGACGAAACTTTGTATTTTTTACTGTGAAAATGCAAGCTGGCAATAGTTATACTATTGTTAGTTTGTTTTTCTGATGAGTTTTTGGTTTGGCAACTTACAAACAAGGTTGGGATAGTTGGGAACACCCCAAAACCAAAGTCCTTTAGTCTTTGACTTTGAGGGAGCTGATAAATGAATTGTATTTCTAATATTGCTCATCTGAATATGAAGTATTCAATATTACCTCATTGGTCCGAGGAAATCCTGCTTTCAACAGCCGAATTACTTGATGGAATGAAAAATGTGGTTCGTAGTAAGATACAGTTTAAGAGGTCATATCTGGGATTTGTGAGAGAATGTAGCTTTTAACATTTGGGGGTATTATATTCCTTTGATTTTTAGATCGACAGTGAATTATATTTGTACCTTTCAATTTTTTTGTATCCAGTTAATCTCTCTACTCGAATTGTCTAAGACGTTTGGGTTATTACGGTTTTTGTTACCTCTTTATTGGAGCTCTATTTCAAAAGGTTTTTGTAACTGCTTCCCTTCTTCAATCTTATCCAATTGGATAGCTTCTTTGTAACTCATTTGGGTTGGGGGGTTACTTCTTGTACATTTCATTAATCAATGAGTTCTGTTTCTTATCGGAAAGTTATCATGTATGATGTTAAATTTGGTTCAATTGGAAAATCTTGTCGAATTGGTCAATGGATTAAAGATGCAGTATTCTTGAAGAGATAAACTAAATGTGGTTAGCTTTTCTGATAGTGCTATGTGCTTGATATCCTGATATTAGTTTTAATATTGAAAAAAAATACCTTGTCTCGATTCATTACTATTTATATCATGCTAGTGATTTGTGGCTTGTGGGAGAGGGAGCTGAAATTATTTCTAGACTGTACCCTTATCATTTGGTGCAAACTATAAATGTTGTGGAACTGGATATTTGAAATCAGCAAAATGCCTAGTTAACTAAGTTGACCTTCTTTTCGTCTTGGGTGTGTCTTGTGATCATTTTGGTCCAAGTTTTTATTAACCTTTACCTATAAGATTGCACTTTGACCTACAGAACAATTACTTATATGTTGTTTTATAAGCATGCTTTTTGAAAATGAGGCTGTAGATATATTTTGAAAGTCTAGAACCCTGTTCTCTATGTTGTATTGCATGTTACTCAGTATGTCAATGATTATCAAGATTCGTAATATTTTCCATCTGCAGTATTACTGCATCTAAGACTGTAGGTTGGTAACTTTTATTTTTATTTTTATTCTTTTAAGGAGGACTGAAGGTAGGTAATTGATGTTGTTGGCCCTATGTATGTTGATATAACGAACTAAGAATTTTGGCATATCCTGAGTATGATTAAATCTGTGTGATGATAGTGACATTAGGTAGGCTGCAATGGCTTCCTCGGTATCAAGTTAAAACATTATTTTGATAGAGGGTTATGATGAAAACTTCAAAAAAGATGATCGTTTGGTGATTATATGCTTTTTTATTGGATATTGAAATGGCACCATTTTAGTTCTCCAACTTTTTACTTCATTGTTGAGCTTTAGGATATCCCGGAAGAGAGTATGTTATTTGTTAACGGTCTATACTTTAGCAGTGAGGTCAATATTTGATTAGGCTCTCCAAGGTACTTGTGGTATGTGTGTAAAGAACATTCTTGATGGTTGTAGTTTAGAACTTAGGTTAGGTGGTATATGTTCACTGGAAGTTGGGGAATAGAATGAGAATTACTTTGTTTGGTACAATATATGGAATAAATGACAGGGCGGGGTTTGCTTTCAATCAGCTAAACTTGGCCATGACATGATTACTTAATTTTGTCGGACTTCTTAAAATAGTTTATAACTGAAACGGATACTTCTAGTCTAGCTATGGATTGATGGTTGTGTCAAAGCCAACCTTGGAATATCTTTTAGTTTCTTTCTATAGCAGCCAAAGAAGAGCTCTACAAGTATTTTTCTGCAAAATTATTGCTTTATCTTTAAACCACCCATCTGTGAGCCTAAAATCTTGTCTTCCACCTTGGTGAGCACCGAGCAAGATCAAAAGGATGACAAATGAAGTTTCTTGTCCCTTGAAGCAAAATTACAGTGGAGAAAAGTGTGATTGAGCGATTCATCATTATTGCTGCACATTAAAAGAATTTGAGGAGATAAAGAAATTTAGGGCTGCAACTTTGAACTTTGTCTAAAGTGTTTAAATGCCATGCAACAGAGTTCCGGATAAAGAATTTGTTCTTTTTGGACCTTGCCCCTTCCAACCGGATCACAAGTGCCCAGACCTAAGAGGCTAGTGAAGAATTTACCGAAAATAATCCTGAACTTCCAGGACTATGTCGTATTCTTTCACTGTCTTAGTTTGGTCTGGCTTCTTGGTTTGGCCTTCACTTTGCATGTAAGCCTCGAAGGGCTCTTGTGCTTTAGTGCACCCCACAATTTAAAAACCCTGGTAGGAATATCATTGTTTCTTACAGAAAAAAAATTAACCAACTAGTTTATAAAAATTGAGTTATATAAGTCAAATCTGCATTCTATTCGGTTATACAAAATGTATCATATTGCACTCGCATTTTTAGATGTCCAGCCAACTGTATAGATGTCTACCCTTTTGACCGAATGTTTCTGTGTCGACTGTTTTCTCATTCTGCTTCAGATTTGGAATGGAAACTAATTTACGTGGGGTCTGCTGAGGTTGAGACTTATGATCAACTCTTGGAGTGTGTTCTTGTGGGACCTGTCAATGTTGGTAATTATCGTTTTGTATTACAGGTAGTGTTGATAAACTTCCATGACCAATTTCCGTATATTGTTATCATGCATCATCTTGTTTATAGAGCTAACCCTGCTATCCCTCCCACATGGATCGTTACCCAGGCAGATCCTCCAGACCCATCCAAAATTCCTGAAGAAGATATCATCGGTGTAACTGTACTTCTGTTGACCTGCTCATATATGGGTGAGGAATTTGTCCGTGTCGGTTACTATGTAAACAATGATTACGATGACGAGCAGCTCAGAGAAGAACCTCCATCCAAAGTCTTGATTGATAGAGTTCAGAGAAACATTCTATCCGATAAACCAAGGGTTACAAAGTTCCCCATTAATTTTTACCCAGAGACTAATGATGATGGTGGAGAGGAACCTCCTTCTAACGATCCTGTATCAGCTGAAACCGATGGTGACGAACAACTGATCCCTGCTTCACCTGAACGTCCATCAGATGAACAAAATCCTTAGATTTAACTTTGTGAAAGGAACATCCATCCCAACTAAGTAATGGAAATTTCTGTGTCACGGTGTTCTCAGAGATGATCATTGCTGGAATCTGGATGGTTTTTGGCTTGGGAAAGCTGAGATATTTTGGGAATGTGATGGTTGAATTGCAGTGGTCAACGTGGCTTGAGCTGCTGAATTTGTGACTCAGTTTGTTTGCATGTTGAGTTGCATTTCTATAGTTTGCACTTGTACAAAGATAGTCCAAATTCATTATTTTGAAGTTGTGTTTGATAAATGAACGACTTTTGGTGTAGTAGTTAATCCAGCAGGGTTGTCATTCCATTTTGTTGAAGTTATCTTGGCTTGGCCAGATACGTGAACAAAGAATAACGAAGATTTAGAAAAAAGAAATAAAAAAGGTATAAAGAGACTTAATTAGCATTAGTCTTCCAAGTTTGAAGATGTGATTGAGGCACTCCTTATGTGGTCTTCCCGAAACCATCCAAGGAGTGGGGGGCAAAACTAATTAGTGGCTGCCTCCAAAGGAAATTAAGTGAATTAATGTCATGTGGCGAAATATGCCAGGTTCAATGTACTCTGTTAGGACAGCCCAACTCAACCCACTGGTATAAATTCAAGTTTTCGTGATGTATTTTACGATGTCATCTATGTTCCCATCAAGTAGTTATTGATTAAGATAATCGATATATATTATTAGTTAAAAAGTCATAACTAATAACTGGTTCCTTAAAAGTATAGAAGCTTTAATTAGTAACTCCACCTATAATCAAAGCAAGATTTTAAACTTGAATAAAATTTCAGTACCCTTTTGAAAATGGGCATTGATGATACAAAATATATATATATATATATATATATATATATATATATTTAGTCTGTGGTACCTTCAATCCACACAAAGACTCTGGTTGCATTCTTCCAAAAAAAGTAATTCAATAATTGAAGCCAAGCTTTTAGAAAAATAGTCAACAAAAGAGAAGAGATTGAGAATCACATTCTTTAATTGGGTGGAAGCCAATTAAGTAATTGTGATATTAAGTTTGAGATGATGTTTACATTCTCATATTGTTTAATTTCTTCTCTTGAGGTATTCATGGTGGTGACAAAGGAAAGGAAAGATCCCCTACCTATTAAAGGGGAAAAGAAATAATTACTATTGAAAATGCAACCACAAAAGAGAACTCAAAAGCCATGGAGGATATGAAATGAGATGGAGTCTTGTCTTCAACAAAGAAAACCATTTTTTTTTATTATTCAAGAATAAAGACAACTCCATACAATGCTTTTCATCAATTCTTCTCTATTCTTTTAATGCTGCACCAAACCCAACTGGATCAAGACTTCAACTTTTTTAAATATCTGAGAAATTTGTAAGTTTATTAACTTTGGCCTTTTGAACTTCTAAGTAAAGTAATTTTAGTTTTATTTTTTTAAGTTCAACGACATAGCTATAGTCAAGTAAGAAAAATCGATTATCACAATTTACTTCCACAATTTCTAACGATTCGATGGAATTTTATTACTCAAGTAGCTAGCATGTCATCACAATAAGAATTTACAATGGAACAACTTTTGTTCACAGGCGGTCTTGTGTGACTCTAACTTAATGCCAAGTTGTTTCTCATGATGGTGAACTGCTATCAAATCCATCGGCTTGTAGGAGTATGTGATTGGTGGGTGGTGATCTCCAATGCTTACTCTGACTCGTCCAAAGATTTTTTTTTAATTCAGCTTGAATTTAGGGGGAGAATCATTGACCGATGAGTAGTCGCTATCAAAGCTTGGCTCTAGATGATAGGCTAGTTGTAAGCTCTTTTCTCGTTCTTCAAATGATTCAAATTGAAAGGATGAATTTTCAATTTATAGTCATTTATGTTTTAAACACCTTCAATTATACACATGTCAACATTAACTTAACTCAGTGATAATTGACATTTAACTTGTCTCTGATCAAGAGGCTATGAATTCAAATTCTTTTAAACTATAATTGAAAATGCACACCTATATGTTCACGATATAAGACACATGTGATGTGGGGTTCACGTATTGGGGTTCCCACATCGAAAAGGAAAGGAGTCGAAGGGCTTTGATTCCCGCTGCAACTTTCGATTTGAGTATTTAAATTATATCAATATGTTTAGCCTTTTTCTGTATTAAAAGGAGAAAAAAAAAGGATAGTGTTGGCTTCATAAGGCAGTAGTGGGGAGGGAAGAAGTTGCACTTTTAAGGGATGGGGAAAAAAGAGGGCAGATGCAGGTGAGGTTATGGGCTTCCAAATGGGGAATAGTTTTCATGTTCAACCAAAGTTTGTGCACCCAAATGGGATATGTCTTAGGACAGCCTGCCCTACCCACTTGGCTCACCTTGATGAGACAACACAAACTTACCACTAATGGCAACCCTTTCTTTTTCTTTCATGTTTCTTATCTTATCCTATTCCTCACTATACAATCAATCCATTTCATCTATTCTTATTACTATTCAATTAACGCTTTTTTCTTTTTTTGGTATAATTGAGGTGAGGAGATTCGAACTCGAGATCTTCTGTTCGAACATAAGTAAACTTCTGGTTAGATATCTTATAAATGATTGTACAATGACCAACATAGGGTTTGAACAAAAAACTTTATGGTGGGTGATATCATAATGTCTCATATCCTTGCTACTGCGTCGTCTTCGGGAGACAAATTCTTATGAGCTAAACAATGTTATTTTATATTTGTTTCTAAAATTTTTAGGGTTTTTCAAATGAATTGAGTCAACTGAAATTAAAAAATCGATGCAAGTAGATCGAACTACTTAAATGTAGATAAACTTAATTGAAATACTTGTAGCTTCGAGATTGTGTTACATTGAACCAACTAATTTTAATGGGGCAAATTCATTTGATTGGTTTGGTAGGACTTTTTTTTAGCTCAATTAATGTAATTCTGTACTCGATAGTTGTGAAGAGGGCAAAAATATTCACGTTGTTTGAGATTAATTAATTAATTAAGTAATGTCTTGGCCAGTCGCAACTGAACTCCCAAACTTCTCAAAGACAAAATAATATAATTATAATAATAATAATAAGATTTAAATACTATTTGGTCCTTAGTATTTACAAAACATCTATTTTTATCCGTATAATTTTAACTTTTGTTCATTTTAGTCTCGTCACTTTCGATAGATGTTCATTTTAGCTCACGTACTCTTTTAAAATTGACCATTTTAGTCCGCTAATATTCGGTACTAGTATACATTAGCAACTCTCGTCCGAAACATGTCAAAACATAAACAGAAAGGGAAGGCATATGGGGAAGTGACAAATGGAAGGAATATTTAAACTTGTGAAGGGGGAAAAGGGGAGAAATTATAAGAATAATGGGATAAGGTAAGCTTTTTAGTTGAGTGGTGGGGATTTTCTGAATTATTGCTGTGTTCCCTCCCCTTCTCCATGCTTCTACTTGGCACTTACCATATGCATTCTTTTTCATCCATTTAACCACATTTATTCTCACCGATTCCTTTCCATTTTGGAAGATATATATTTATTCAAACGCATCATTTGCAAACAAAAAATGCCACAACTTTAATTTTTTTACTTTTCTTTTTCAATCCAAGTTTAATTCCAAATTCATTTACGAAGATATTATAGCTAATCTCTAGAAAAGGCATCGATCAAAAAAAGTGTGCGAGCAGAATAATATATCATGATTTTGAAAGCGTGGTGTGTGCCAACACACACTTTATTCATTTCACGGTTCAAAATGGATGCCACGAAGCCATAGCCCCTCCTGTAAATAGAGACATTATTGTTCAAGAGTTTCATAAACCATCCATCCAAATATCTCCACAACTTCTTTCTTCTAGAGTTTCTTTTTTCTTGTTTTGGGTGTGTAATTTTGTGTATAGGGGAATTAATGGTGATATATAAGCTTAAGGCTGTTGACAGAAGATAGAGAGCACAGATGATGGAATGCATATGGCTATTGGCATCTCACTCCTTTGTGCTCTCTATACTTCTGTCATCACCTTAATTATCCCCCACTTTTAAATTAACTCTTAATTAATTGCTTCCCCACCCCATTTTTACCTGTCTAATTAACCCTACATTTCTTGAACTTAATTAATTTTTCTCTATTGCTTTTTGTTTCTAATTAACTCCCCCACTCATTTGTTGTTTTGAGTTGGATTAGTTTGGATTTGAATAGATGATACTGTTATAAACTTTGAATTTCGTTTTGCTCAATAATTCTTTGAATTTTTCTCTATGAAAGTAAATCGATTGATCAAGAGTTTTTGGTTGGAGTATTAGTATTTTCATATGTGCGGAATATGATTATCACTTTTTTTTTTACTGAGAGCTATGCTCCATGTTGACATTTGTACTTCATTTTATACGATATCTTAGGGTAACCCATTTTGCATTTCTAATTCTTCTGAGCTAACTAGATTCATAACTTCATTTATAGGAATAATGAATGAATAGGAGGCTGCGTTTGACTTTCAGATAGGGAGGTGAAGGCTACAAAGAAGAGATGAAGGAAAAAGTTGTGTCGTGCTGTGATATCAAGATCGATCTGTCTTTTGAGGCATGGAAAAATGTATATGTATTTTTTTGAAATCGACACTGTGTGGCTTACAGTATGGATATCCCTATAATTGAAGTTCATTGTTTAGACTAAGCAATACAGTGACCAGCACCGGGATTGAATCCAAAACTTCATGTGGTAGGTCCCAAAACACTTGCGACTGTGTCACTGGGGCAACAAAAGGCTGGAACTATTCCTGCCAAAAACAAGGGACCTACTTCTCATCCTAAGAGTTAGCAGGTACGAATGAGTCCCCTCTCTGTCTCTCCGAATTTCGACATCTTGGTTGGCCTTTCACCCCTAGCCACAAGTCATCCCCGTATTTTGCCACATACATGGGTTCGATCCTCCAAGGCCTGTTAGAGCTCTCTCCCTAACACAAACACACTTGTGCTATTTTTAGTCATGGGATGTTAATGATTTATTTTTTATTTTTTCTTATCTACGAATATATTGTGACTTAATTAAACATACCAATCATTTTAGGGCTCAACCTCATATGTCATCTGCACTACTTTCACACGTCCTAAGTTTGTAAGGTAATTCTCAATTAAGCCATGTTAATTAAGTTGTTGCTAAATTTTATTAACCAAAAGTTGATGTATAATGTGGATATACGACTCAGAAACCATAAAAACAAAAGATTTCAAAAATACATTTCAACCAAAATCACTCACAAAAAGAAGCGATGTGATGAACAATTAAGGGATCTAATAAAAAAAACCACCAATTATCAGTCCACAAATTAATCAAATCTTAATTAGAATGATAGATTCAACTAACAAAACAATATGAACTTTCAAATTAAGTTATCAACTACTGGGTTTGGCGTATTAGTGTTAGATCAGTCTCTAAAAAGACTTGTGGTAGTTCATTATGGAATTTGTATATACCTATTTTCAATCTTTACATTTAAAAAAATTTCTTATGACAAACATCAACTTTGATATATAATTCTCTTTTCTTATTCAAGTACAAAGAGAAAACAACATTATTAAATCACATATAAATCAAAATAATAATAATAATGATAATAATAACAACAACAGATATATATAAGGCCCATTATTATATACACTACACAAAACCAAACCAAATAACTTTTTCCCTCTTATTTATTTCTTCTAATATTTTGAGTATATCTTTTTCTTCATCTTCTTCTTCCTCCTCCTCCTCATCTCTCCCGGTGGTTGAGAGAGTGACGAAAATGGCACCGGTGACCGTAAGGACACGTGTCACCGGCGAGTACCATCCTGCACATCTGTGTCTTGTAGCGTGGGTGTCTGATGACCGGCCGGAGCTCTTCGACACCATGAGCGAACCGGCAATGGTCGCCGTAAGGGCACCCGCCGGTCTCTCGCCATTTGTTGCAGAGCTCTGTCTTCGCCATCCCCTGGTTGTACAACTCCAACTCCATCGCTGCCGCCGCCGCCTCCTCCTCCTCTCTCTTCCCACTCCCTCCGCCGCCACTCGCCGGAGCGCACACCCGACGCTGCCCACAACCAAATTATTATGTCCACTTTTCTTATAACCAATATTTTAATTAAATTTTGTTTGCCGTATATCCCATGGCCGTCAAAATATCATTGATTGTATATACACCAAAAAGTTTTAACAAAATACTCTCGAGCATAATTAATGGTAATAATACAGCTAGAGGAACACTTTAGTTTGGATGTTTCGGTGAATTTAATCCTAAGTTTCAAATTAAACTATTTATGTTTTAACATTGTTTAATTATACTATTTTCAATACTCAATATTAAAATTGACTAATGAGAAATTTATGTAATATAATACTAAGAAAGAAGGAGAAGGAAAACATTGAAACTTATGCGAATTTGGAAGGAATTATAAATTTTCCTCCTTTTTCCTAATTCTTTTTCTAGATATATTTACTAATTTACTCACTGAATTTTAAAACTAATCAATAAAAAAAAAAGTGTAATTGAAAAATGTTAAATATATAAGGGATTCAGTGGAAGAAAATACCAAAAACGTTACTAAAACAAATATTTAACCTAACATTAAATTTTAAATGGTTTAAAAGTCTGAAATGCGAATTTATTAATGCCTTTTTCTACTTCTTCTGTGAATTTTTTACTTTTATGTTTTCTTCAGGAATGTCTATCATTTTAGTAATATTTTCATTGATAAATTCATAAAATTGAGATATATACATACATCCATCTTTTATTTTAGTTCAACTAATAAATATTTTATCCATTTCTTCGTTAATTCTTAATTTTTAATTAACATAAACATGGATATAGAAGCTACTAGAATTTTGTTATTTTTAAGGGCTAAAAATAAAACTACTTTTATCAATTAAATGGGAAGGGAACATAAAAGAACGAATTCAAAGACGTTGAGGAAAATTAATCAAACCTACCGATTGGATGTTGAGTAGTGGAGCGGTGGCCGGAGTTGCAGACCGGACGGAGATGCTGTTCGGAAGAGCGATTACACGGCGGCGATTCCTGATCATCCCCTCGAACTGGTTGTTGTTGTTCCGTATCACACTCGTCGGACTGATTATATCGTCGACGCCGATCTTCGAGGAAACAAGCTTCACCAGCTCCGCGTTCGCCGATCGGATTTGGGCGTTCTCTCGCCGGAGATAATCCGCCTCCTTACTCACCTCGCGGAGGCGCCGGAGGCACAGATCGTGCTGTTCCCACAGCTCTCGGCTCTCCAGAACAAGCCCGGCCTCAAAAAGGAGCTCGTCGGTGTGGCTGTGGCTGTGGTCGTCGTCGTCCACGGCGGAGGAGCACGGCGACGGCGTGAACGAAAGAGAGCTCGGAAGCGACAATGTTGATAATGGCGGGAAAATCGAGTGGTACATTGAAGCAAAATGCACGCCGAAATTCTCGAATTCCGGTGGAGTTGCGGGAAGACTCGACGGCAACGGCGGCGACATGTCCTCCTCCTCCATTGGAACCCAGGCTGAGAAGAAGTTTTCAAACACAACTGCCATTTTACACCAAACTACGTAAAATTACGAATCTCCCCGGCCGTTTGATTTCAATTTAGTCGTTCTTATAATATATATTATTTACTAGCCAATGCCAATTTGGGTTCTACATAATTTTAAAATCTTCAATTCATTTCTATGATTGAATTAACATTTCTTTACATACCACTTAAAAATAATATACTTAATTTTTTTTTTCTTATTTTATTCAGCCCGAAATTTTAATATAGTTAACACGTCAACCAGATAGGAAATATCAACAACATCAATATACGATTTTGGTGGAAAACCAGGAAATAGGAATTTATAATAATCAAAATTAGTTCAATAACCCGGATCAGATCAGGCATGTGGATTAGTTGAATTCAACACATTCATTATTAATAAACAAAGATATATATATATAAAGTGAGTAGATTAAAATTAAGTAATTCATTGAATGATGGATTTGGGATGCTTTTGAAAGAAGAGAATGACAAATTTAAATGATTTGAACCCTCAGAAGCGTAAACAGAAAGAAAAACGGTCCTTACAAAATCTCACCCCTACGAAGCCGGAGAAGAAGCCTTCAGCAGCAGCTACAGACCAAACAACTTAATTAATAGATAAACCCTAACTGAAGAATGGCCATGCTTTATAGCTAACCATTACACACGTGTGTGAGTGTGAGTGTGTGTGTGTATATAATATATATATATATATATATATATATATAGGTATATGCATATGAAGTTTGTTAAGAGGAAGTTGTTATGGAAAAGGGTAAGTTTTTGGCGTGGCGTTGAAGCATGTGAGAAGGTGGGAGTTGTTTTGTTAATCACTCAATTAAAATTATTATTCCTTCCATTGTTCTGTGT